CAATCCACTGACTTCAATTTGGAAGAGGACTTAAAAGAGCTTCTGGACCAAAGTCAGCAAAATTCAGAAAACAAGTGTCCTTGTGCRTGTGTGTAGAATTACATTCACTGATTTCTGAATTAAAAAGAAAAAATGAAAATGTGCAATTTAACTATCTCAATGCCTTGGTGTGAGTCAGATCAGAACAGTGTGCTGAGAATACTCTCTCTGAAACCAAAACACAAAATCCTTAACCAATACTCAAGCTCTTCCAAAAAGCTGGAGGGTTGTGAAATAACTGTGAATTGATTTGGGAGAATTCTCCTTGGCCAAAACCAGATCCCTGATTGTATGATTTTCTTGTGTTGTTGCTGCCTGTGGAAGTTTCTTACAAGCTCTAGGTGCCTGGTTTGTGCTGGGGCTAAAGGCATTGGAGTGCTGCAGGAGCTGAGRGGTTGGCTGCTGCTACCATGAATATATTCTGGGGGCAGCTGCAGGATGTTATGGTGAGGTGCAATTAGGAAGCAACTGTTTCAGTATTAGCTTTTGGGGATRTGAAAGTAAAAAAAATGTGGCACAACCTCGCCCATCCAACAGTATTAGTTTTGGAATAAGGTATTATTTGGATAATGATGCTTTGGGCCTATCTATGATGCGAATAAATCTGCCTTTTCATATGGGCTTTGGTCCTTTGAGGGATGAAATATAATCCTGAACAGAGGCTCTATTTAGCACCTAAGCCCTATTTTATGGTTTAAGTGCTGACCTAATACTGACCTTCGCTATAGGGCTGAATTTCACCCTACAGCAAAAATCTGCTGGCTAGAGAAGCTGATTAAAGAAATCAGGGCTAGACATTTTACTGTTTTCAAGACAATGAAAACAGGCTTATTTTTGACAAAATATCTCTGATTTATGAGAATTTCAACGCAGAAAGGGGCTATTTTGGAAAAAGTCTTGAGATTAACATTTTATTTATACTTTTGGCAGGAGAGCAAGGACACTATTTCATTAACTTCTTGCTRGAAGTCATATATGGAGGGCATTTGTGTACACAGCTGGGCAGCATAAAACAGAAGGGCTTTGTGTGGAAAATATCCTGAAATGAAATTTCATTTCTGTGCAATTTGGATCTACGTTCCTGAGCTACTCTGGTCACTTTTGAATGAAACCATAGGAGGGCAGTATTAGGCCCTGGCACGCTTTCCATGATGTTCAATCCCTTGCAATGGACACAGCAATAGTGAACAGACCATTGTTGGCCTCCTGCGCAAAATCAGCGTCACCTTTTACAGCCTTATGTCAGTCAGATAAGCTCCTGCCTGCTTCTATGCATCCATATGGCTATAATCATCAAGTGATATGGCGAGATTAAATGTTTGTAAGGAACTCCAAAAGYCACATGCTAAAGCTGGTGTGAATTTAGCTCGCCATTGAGCAATCTTCTCAGCAGATAACTGCGATCTATGCATTAAATTACCACCAAGGAGGAAGGAGCCTGGGTCCCCATGGAGGAGTCACCTCTGTGCTGGGCAAGGCAGGAGCATCTCACAGTTAGGCCTCAGGAGCATCCCTGRCTCTTGCACTTATAGAAGCACCTTAGAGGGATTTCCAGGTTTCACAGATGCCCTTGAGCAACTGTTCATGCCAGATTAGGAACCTGTGGACATCTTTTTGACCTGAGCTATGATGGCCTGCTGACTGCACATCTTGCTGGTGCCTGAAACAGGTGGGGCTCATATCCTTGGAAAGGACATTTCTTTGAGGATACCTACATGCTATATTGGTGTTTCTTTACCTATATACATTTATATATTCGTGTTTCATGGACCAGCCAAACTACTTTGTTATTGATGGGCCTGCCTGCTCTCTGAGCATGATGCATGAGACTCCCCACAGATCTGCAGGGTGATTTCACAGGCTAGCATTTTGTGCATGTTCCCAAAGAGGAATGAGTGGGGTACCACAGATAGCCCTCCACCAAAAAGAAATATTTGAAAGATAAAACATAAAAGGAGAAGGTAAATGTGTCCTTTTCCTTTTAAAACATACAGTCTGGGGCCATGATTCCATAGATGTTTCTCTCCAAGGCCTTGCTAACATAAGTTAGCAAGCATCCTTTCCCCACTCTCTCCCAACAATCTTATAGTCCACTCATGGAACTGGTGAGTGGAGGTAGATGTGAGTTACTAAGAGGTGAAGGCGCGATCTTTTTAATTTGGTCTTACTTCGAATTGCTGTTCATATAAACCCGACCTATTTTATTCTTTTTTTTTTTTTTTTCTCTGTGATAATACTTTTAAAAGGCTAGTTTGGTTTCTGTTTTACTGTGCGGAAGAAGTTTTCCCTCAGAATGAGATTCTGATTTCAGCTTTTAGAAGCTGGAAGATAGAAACTAAATATTCTCTTCCAAAAAAAAAAAAAGTAGAAGATAAGTAACTCTGGCAGCCAGATTATCCATCCAACCCACCACGCACACAAACTGATTAAACAGCTTCTAATGTTCCAAGCAATGAACAACTAATAAATACTTCATTTTCATGCTGAGCCACTGCAATACCAGTCTGTGAGCTATTTCTTTGTAAAGCRATAGGAAAAAAAACTGTAGTCTACGAAAGATACTAAAACCCACAATCTAGTATATATTTCTTATGCGTATTTCTGATACTATGTGGTTCATGATTGCTTCTTTTAGAAGGTACAAATAATCAATACAAAACCATGAATAAAAATAACTTTTCTTTAAAACTGGTTGCTAAAAGAACATACAGTCTCCTTATTCTGACTGATGGAAACAGTAGAAGTCTGTTCTCCACAATTCATTGTTTATTGGAATGCCTGAAATGTATATGCAGGGTATTTTTAAAGCATTTAAACATAGAAGTAAAGCTTCTGCTCCAGACAGTTTGGTTTACCATATTCTAAAAATCTAACATGTGCCACAGAAGTGTTTAAAGCAAGGAAACAATAACAAATTTGTAAAAAGCTCTAATATAAAATAATGTTCATATTCATTTACCAAGGAAAATTTCCTTCCCTTGTGACACATACTTCAGCTATTTATTGACTCAGCTGTCGGATAAGACCTTGAAGGCCCACTTTGGTTTTATAACATTTTAGAGAGAACAGTTGTCAATAGACAAATTTTGGCGTGCTCCTTCTGCAAGAGACCAACTCCTACGAGAGCAAAGCAATAAAAATACTGCTAATGACCGAGAAATGCAGCACAGTGGATGTCTTTAGGAAATGCTGTGGAAAAACACTGCAAAAGCTACATCAACTTAGGAAATAGAGAAGTGTTAGGAGATGCAATCTGGCTGCTGGAGTAGTTTGGACCAGGGCATAGAGAGTCACATGGGGCTCTATGGGGGAGTCCTGAGTCATTGGTCTTATCCTGTTGTCTTGGCTGCTCAGAGATTCTTCTCTATGGACTAGCCAAAGTCTCCTACCCCTTAACTGTGCTGCTGGAGAGTTATGATCTAAACTTAGGCTTGTGCTGCACTCTGATGCCGTCAATACTCGCATCAGTTCTGGATTTGTGGTTTATGAGCTAGCGTGCAACACTAGCTTGTAGTATCGGATCCGGTTCTCACCCTTCTGTACTGTCTCTGGGATGCTCAAAGTGCAAATCTTGCAGTGTCTATTGATGTTAGCTGACGTCTTGCACGCGGAGGGAGGGTTTTGGGTGTCCAGCCAAGCGAAGCCTCTGTGTTGGCCAGTCGACTCTGCTTGAGGCTGATTTTCGTTCTGTGGAAGTGCTGCATAAACAATGAGCTCTTGGATGAAGAGTGTGAGGCAGACATTAATTTAGGCCTACTTTATTGCAGCCCCTCCTGTAGCTAAAAGATCTAACTTACAATTAACAAAATGAGCTTAAAATAAACAGTGCTATACATTTTTACAGATGGCATAGTAATGGTTGCTATAAACAAGCATTTGCCTCTGTACTCTCCTGGTTAATAATTCCAAATATGAGATCATTTCTTGAGTCTTCTCAAGATACTTTTGTTAGGAGTAGAATATAACTGTTTTCATTAAAAGAAGTAATTTGCACCTAACCATGGATATGTAATTTGTGTCACATATATCTTGAAAGGCTCTGTTTTCAGACTTTCAATTTAATTCATGTAGCTCTATCATACATATACCTGTGTGTGTATACACATATATATTAWAAATTCCTTGATGTGTCTATATGCAATGAAATATAAAGTGCTATGACTGGTAAACAGATATAAAGACAACTTTGCAATTAGCTGCGTGCTAACTTGGCAAATTATTTTTTCCAGCAAGAAATATATCCTAAGGACCTTCCATCTTTATGCGTATAGGGTATGCAATAGGAAACGCTAACAAYGTTATTTATTTTTCTTCTTAAATGGTTTAACAAATAGAACATATTATTCAAAGTAGCAATACCCAATGTAAACTAACTGCTTTAAAACCGGGCAATTTTCAACCTTTAAGCTGAAAAAATCTCACTATACTTCTTTCATAGTATATTTACTTCTGAGACTTTATTTCATATATACGAAAGGTAAGCCAAATTATATTGCCTTTCTCAAAGATAATACAGCACAAAATTCAAAGACTGAATTGACTTTTTATTCCTGAAAATCCATACAAACAGCAGTGTACTARATTAATCATTTGAGTTAAAAACTTTTTATCAAGAATGGACTGATTGGTCCATAATTCTTAGTGGTTGTAGTTAGAGTTAAACAAATAAAGCTTCCTCATTAACTGCAAGTACACTGGGAAGAGAGAGGAGAGAAAAAAAAAACAAAAACTTTTGGAGCACTCTAAGATTCTGGTAATTTAGGCCATTCTGCACCATAAGCAAATGTACAGGCATGGTTTGTAGCTGTCAAACTATGGAATTTGCATGGTAGAAATCCTGGCCCATGTTTTTGTCTATAAAAGCAGCCTGTGTGATTCTTYTTTTTAATCAAAAAAGAATTTCTAGTGCAAAGTACATTTCAACACAAACCAGTAGTTAATAAATCAGCACTGCAACTTACCTTTCTTCAGCCAAGAAATATTTTGCTTGTCATTTTCAAAACTTTCTGTTGGTTTGATTTTTACCTTGTCTGTCTTGGCTTCTGACATCTATGTGGGAGGAAAGAATTTGGGGATGTCAGAAGTTCTTGGGAAGAAAGTTTCTGACACAGCAAAATGGTCTCTGCTTAGGTTTCTGATGGAACAAATTGTATTTACTTATACAGACACTTTTTTTTCGGGTTATTGATAATATATCTCTATCATTAAATTTATATTCGGTTACTAAATGCTTTATCAATATTACATGGTTGCTATTTGTAGACGGATTCTCTTGTAATGTAACTATAAATTACATTATGAAATGAGTGACTGATACCCTCACCATCGCATACTGGTAATAGATGTATATGTAACATGCATATCAGACACAGTCTGGCTAAAAATGAAGGGTCCAGTCTGCCTGTTTATGTGATTCCAAGTTACTGCAAAGCTTGCCATCAGTGAGGTATAACGATACAAATAATAATAAACATTTATAAAGGCAACTTGAAAAAAGTGTACCCAAAAAGAAAAAAAAAAATACTGCCACTTGCGACAATTTATTTCTCTTAGCAGAAGAATTAGAAGAATTACATGCAAGTTCCAGCACCGGAGGGTATTAGGTACACAGTAGCTATCAGCTGTACACTGTGGTTTACCTCTGCTGCCTGCTAGCAATAAGATTAGGCTGTCCAGGCTGCCTCTAACTGCTTTCTGTTTTCACTGAATCGGGTTAGTTAAAGCCTTTCTGTATCTTTTCTTTTTTACCTGTGTATTCCAAATGGGGGGTTCGGGAGCAGGGCTCAGGCGCGGGCGAGGAGTCCTCTCGGCCGAATCCCTCGCTGCGTGCTGATGTCCAGCATTCCCACACACTGACAAAACCGAAAGGATGAGCCGTGCACTCTGCCTGCCTGCTGTGTGGTGCCAGATTTGTCTTGCTGCCAGAATCAGCCAACTTATTGCTGAGGGCTTTTTTTTTTTCATTCTTTCTTTTTTTTTTTTTTTTTTTTCCCCTCTCCCTTCTTTTTGTTTGCATGCACTTCTAGAGCTGGGTACGCTAGGGAAGGAGGGGGGTAATCAGCCTCCCAGCACTACTGGAGTGGTAGAAAATCAACAGCTTTAGAAAAGAAAATTGCTCTGGAAGGGTTATTACTGCAGTTCATAACCCAGTGAATCTGCAAGAGGCAGAGGAAAATAAAAAGGGAACCAGGAAATTAATAGCGACAAATCAGATAAATGTGTCAATGTTGTGCCTAAACACAAGTTAAATATCGAAAGACATAGAAATTGGACCTTAGATGTCTATTTACGGCTGCTGCTTTGGTAAAGTAAAAGTCCAGCCTTGAGCTCTGTGAGCTCAGCAGGGGACAATCCAGCGTCACCCACAGAGCAGCAGGTCCCCATTAACCCTATTGCAGCTGAGATGGGAGGTCTCCGTTGGGAACCAGTGAGTTTGGTAGTCAGGAGCTTGGAGGCTGCTCATCAATCTGGGTCATCCTCAATTTCAGCTTGAAGGTTATTAGTTTGCTTTTAAAATTCTATTGTGGGTGTTACCAGCAATATTATTGTAACTGAAGTAGGAGCAGGGTCGAGCCCAAAGAGARGAAGATTGTAGGGTACTCATATGTGGCACCCTTAGGTTTCCATAAGGCCTAAGAGGAAATGCTGCTTTGCTTACCAGAACTGAATTTTAAAGTATTAGTTGCAGAGTACATTTAGAATTACCCAGTTATCTTAGCTTTTAAGCAATATTTACAAAATTTCAAGCAGCATTTGTCACCAGATACTATAATCCAAGATCCCAGTGCTTAAGTGTGGCCAATAAATAATAACATATTCCCTTTGTTATGACAATTATCTTCCTCTACTCTCCCATCACATGTCATTCTTACAAGAAAAAATTGTTTTCTTCTTTTTCCTTTCCTTTCCTTTTTTTTTTTTTTTAATCTCCTGTGCCAACATGACTGAGATTCTTCTACCATCTTTAGCTAATTGTGAATTGCATGGTAAGTGCCTACTTACATCTCCAAATTGCAATGATTAGTCTTGCATGGTTTGAAAACCTATTTTAAGCAGGGTACTTTGGGAATAATTGCAACCACAGGGGGGAAACATCTAGGGGTAATATTTTAAGATCTTTGTTCTATTCCTATTGGATGCTGCTTTAAGAGTCTTGTGTTTTCGACTGCAGTTGCCCTGTTTCTCCCAGGAGCATTTCCTCTTGTTACTGCAGATGCAACCCTTTAAATCTGTGGRTAGTGGTGATCCGTCAGCTGGATTTTCCAGGACAGACTGCTGAGCCCCTGGGAAGGGTCTAATAAAATTAGCTATTCTTCTCTCAGATCAGTCAAGCACCAGGTAGCTGCAGCTTGGACCTRGTGCTAATCTCTATTCTGTTTCCCAAATTCTGCTTAAAATGAAGTTATGGGTTGTTCTTAAAGGAAACTGGGGATGAAATCCATTCTGTAGGTTTGTTCAGCATCCCACACACCTCACTTTTCTAGACTTTTCCAAAATTCTTATGTCTCCCAAACAAGAGACCCAAGACAGCACAGATTCCTCCTTGGAGACACTCTCCTCATCAGTCGTTCTAGCAGAAGTGCCATGTGGGCTATGTTGTGCATTGGCAGCATGCAAACTCCTGAGATTACCTAGACTGAACCCAAAGGAGTCCATGAGTTAAGAAGGCATTAGATGAGTTTCCTTTCTGGAGTATTCTCCATTGCTGACATTCACTTAATTCTCCTAATGTTTTTCCCCCAGAAGCATTAACTATAAGCTTTCTTAATCTCCATCAACTCCAATTTTCTACTGAGACGTGTTTGTGTGCTATTTTTTGCCTCATTTAATTAAGTTATTTTGGATAAATGCATCAATATTTCTATTTCCTAATCAATCTTAAAGTAGTTAGTGGAAAGGCAGGATTTCCATGCATCCTCTGTAATGCTAGGCTTTGCAAAGGAGGGAAAACAACATTATACAAGGTCATTAAAATATTGAGTAAACTTGTTTCTATTAAAGCTGTAATTGAATTTTTAAAGCCATGGTCCATTTTAAACACCGAACTTTAGTTTATGGTTTGATAATTCATTTCACTTTTATTTTATAGGTTTTATTTTATAGTTATTAAATAGCTATGGGCCATCACTTCTTCCTTTCCCGTCTAAATTGTGAAGTATGGCATTTATATGGAGAATTAATAAAAAAAAAAAAAAAAAAAAAAAAGAAAAGAAAAAAAAAAAAAAAAAAAAAAAAAAAAAAAAAAAAAAAAAAAAAAAAAAGATGTGATATCAAGTCAGTTGCCAGATAAATGTAATGTATTAATTGCTTGAGATTGGAGAGTGTATTTTTCTGGTCTACTCAGTTGGGAGTGCATTCAGTCTTTGTAGAGTTGGAGAAAAGGCAATTTTAATGGATTGCAATAACCATCAAAGCTGAGAGGGAAACTCATTACTGCCCTAGCAAGCAGCAAAATTATCAGGGTTTCCTTGTATGCTTAATGTTAGGTCAGGAGTCCAAAACCAGATTCTGGCGTAAGTCTGAGAGAGGATACCTAGGTGTACCTGGGAGACCTTTCAGCTGTGAACATCAGTGCAGAAGTTATGACATCGTATTTCAGTGCCTGAAGCGACTTTTCACTTGAGGATCTGAACTGTATGACTGGAAGCTTCATCTCCCAGAGAGAACCACATTTACACAGCAAAGCATCAGACTGGGCAGTTATTTCATTATTTCTCTTTTACAAAATCCAGGTAAAAATGTAGCCGCCTGTCTGCTGGCAAGTGGCGCTCTGTAGCTTTGGAATGCCCCTTGCTGCATTTTTTTTTTTTTTTAAAGTTTGATGGAACTATGTCTTTGCTCCCTTTTGCACCCTGGGGTGATCATTTCCAATAATAAAGTGAGTATAATGTGATGTGCCCTGTCAAAGTTAAGGAATCTCTTCTTGATCATGCATCTGTAGGTAGAATATTAAGTTGTGGGAACACGCTATACAGCCAAATTATCCTGGTGATTACATGTAAAATGCATGGTGTTTTAGCCGAACCATCATGTCCTGTGAGTGCTTCAAATGCAAAACAGCCTGTTTATAGAGCCTACCTCCAACTGGCACTGACAAATGATCTATATGCTGYGGAGGCTTGGAGCAGTACAAAGACTGCAGGGCTTCATTCCCCATCACTTGTCCAATGCTCTACTTAGTAGACTTTAGATAATGTTTCTGTCACTGGCTTTCCTGCTCAGGGAGACATGGGCCTTTATTTCCTCTTGCCACCCAGTACCACTGCAATTGGTGGATACAGCCTGGGAACACGTTTAAATAGGAGGGAGGAATAAAAGCTGGCACTGGGTGGCAGGGAGAGGTTAGCAGAGGTTACTAATAACAGAGAGGGAGCACAAACCAGTAAGACTGAGGGCTCTCTGCACAGAAACAAAAGCGAAACAGAAAAGAAAGAAAAGAGAAAGGGAAGAGGAATGGGCAAATGTAAGAGCAGCTAGACTTTAAGTGCTCAGATTTCAGTGTTTTGGTGCCAAATCCCTTATTATCATCATTATTTTGTAATGATTCCAATCACAGTATTCGTCTTTTTTTTATAGTAGCACCAAAGGGCAATGAAAATGAAGCTCCTGCAGTGCTGGGCATTGGATGGTCACAGAGCTGCAGTGAGGTCTCGTCCCAGGAGCACAGAAATGAGCAGGGCAGGGATGGCACGTAAGTGAAAACACTTGACCTCGCAGCACAAGCAAACACGTGAAGGCAGCAAATGGCCTCTGGATTTCATCTTTCAAGAGGGCAGGAGGGAGATTGCTTAGCACCTGTCCTGAGAAATAATGAAATGTTAGGAAAAGAGAATGGAGGGCAAGTGAGGATCAGGCTGAGCTTGGGCAATCATAGCGGGCAAGGTGGAAAGACTCAGCTTCTTGCCTCAGAGCCAATAGTATCTAGCTGGAGCTGGAAACACGGCTTTGACCCCTCGGATAGTCTTTGGCCACTTTCCCTTTGGCCACCTGCAAAGTCTTAAAGGCCTCATTTGAAACAACCTTCCCCTCTCCAGGTTTTATAAAGTTTT